CGGGTGGGTGATGGTTGAGTGAGTGGATCTACGATCTGCGGAGGGTGCACCTCCTGGAAGGTATCTGGAAACTACAGGGCCCAAGCAAATGGCCTCTCTACATGGCTATTGGTCTCACTGGGGCTCTTAAACCATTCATCTGGTACCCTGGCCGATCCAGCCCGTGGGATCTTTGAAGAAAGACAAAAACAATTCAAGCTGTCCCTCCATGGTCCTGTCTCATTCCTCCCTGGATTTATTTGTAAATCCCAATGTTTTACCCTCTGTTACTTAGGACATTCAATGGGAATAATGGATAACAGACATGGCCTGCAAAGCCCCCCGGGTACTAGTCCCTTCAAGGCACTGGAGTGCAGTGGGCAACGTGGGAAGTTTCAGAGTGGATGACACTGGGTTCAAACCCCAGATCTGCCTTCTCTTCTCCTTTCTTTCCTTATTCTCTTCATTTTCGTGTGGCTAATTAAACTCCTCTACTCCTAGTCTCCTGCTTCAGGGCTGCTTAAACAAAGTCCTGGTGAGTCTTCACTATACCACCCCAGGCCCAGCACTTTGGCAAGCACCTTACTTCCTTAAGAATGGATTTGGAGACGCTTTGTGAACTGAGTGTGCGGAGACGCTGTGCTGCTGAGACCCGCCTGTCCCCCACTCTCCCTGCGCACCGCAGGATGTGGTGCTCAGGACAGTGGGCACATGGCCAAGAACACAATATCAAAACCTGGCCTCAGAGGTCAGTTATGAGATGATCAAGGACCTTAGGAGATGGACACATCCACCTCTGAGTCCAGAATAGCTCCCAGGCCCCTGGGCCTGGACAGTGGGAGTCGGGAAGCATTCACTTGTCAACCCAAAGGGTCAGGGAGAAACCCAGGAGGTCAGTAAGAGGCAGACCACGGAAGCCAACCTCAGTGGAGTCCAGGGCAGAGGGTAGGGGCATGGGCAGGCAAGAGTGGGGAGAGATGCCCTAGGTTACCTGAGTCCAGTGCCATGAAATACGTGAATTCTGCAAGAGAAGTCACAAACCACAGGAAGTAATACCTAAGCCCTGACACTGACCTCTGCACTTTCATCTTGTCACACTCCTAAAAGGAGTATGCGTGAGGCAGAGGATCAGATTGTGGATTGTGGCCAGTTTACCAAGCACTAGACCCACCAGGCTGGGCAGGCTGGGGCCTATGTGTCCTCAGGTATTCTCCCTTTCAATTTGGGCCTTCAGAACACATCTGCTGAATGAGCCACCAGATGGCCAGCTGAGGGGGACTTGTTAACCATCTGCCAAGCCCTGCCTCCCCACAAGCCAACCAGGATCTCCAAAAATACTACTTCCAAAACCCAGGTGGCATATCAAGCATGCCCAGTCCCACATTGGTTGAGTGGGCTTAATTTTCTTCTTTACTTTTTTTTTTTTCAAATTTTATACCAAAAACAGGTACTACGTTTATTTCTTTATTTAGAGACAGGGTCTCACTCCATTGCTCAGGCTCAAACTGAAGAGCTCAGGCGACCCTCTTGCCTCAGCCTCCTGAACAGGTGGGCGGTTGTTACTTTAAAAACAGAAGCCCTGATGGATCACACACCTGAAGAAGGCTCCACAGCCTCCTGCTCACACACTAAACAATCAATACTGGGAGAGACACAATTCCGTTTGATCCGCTAGTATGTGTGGTTAAGGGGAGGTTATCTCTTTATAGGACCCTGGTGGCCTTATCTACTGTGTATTTATGTTTTAGGGTGTGAAGCAGAAAGACTGCAGGGGAGAGGCCGGGGGTACTGGGCTTCTGACTGTTCCTTTTACCATGGACAAAAGCATCATTTCCACTAGCTTAATTTAAGAGTGTGACCCTGTATCCTTGGAACTGACATATTTTAAACAACAGATTTATAAAAATGGAGAGAAAGTAGAATAGAACAACAAGGATTGCAAAACAGAGAGATGGCCCAAACCAGCCACAAGGACAGATGTCTGAATTTTCAGTTTCCCTATTCAGTTCTCGCCTCAGTCAAGGGTGGGCAGCAAGACATGCTTGTTTCCACAGAGCGAATGCTGCCCACCTCTCCCCCGAGCCTGCCCTCACCAGCCTTCCTGTTCCTTCTCCTCACTGAATTCAGTATCCAGTTTATTCCTTCTCCCTTAGCCTCAGGCCTTGGCAGACACCCCTGTGGACCCTGGGTATCCCACATGTTCTGAGACTGGATCCAAGAAATACATGACATGGACTCAAAGTGGATCAAGGACCTAGGAATTAAACCAGAGACCCTGCATCTAATAGAAGAAAAAGTAGGCCCAAATCCTCATCATGTCAGATTAGGCCCTGACTTCCTTAACAAGACTCCTCTAGCACAAGAAATCAAGAATCAATAAACGGGATGGATTCGAACTAAAAAGCTTCTTCTCAGCAAAAGAAACAATCTGTGAGGTGAATAGAGAACCTACAATTTGGGAACAAATTTTTACTACATGCACATCAGATAGAGCACTAATCTCTAGGATATATAAAGAACTCAAAAATCTTAACACCAAAAAAACAACAACAAATAATCTAGTCAATAAATGGCCAAGGACCTGAACAGACACTGCTCAGAGATGATATACAATCAATCAAAAAATATATGAAAAAATGTTCAACATCTCTAGCAATTAGAGAAATGGAAATCAAAACTACTCTAAGATTTCATCTCACTCCAGTCAGAATGGCAGCTATTATGAAGACAAACAACAATAAGTTGTTGGAGAGAATGAGGGGGAAAAGGACTACAAAAGGGAGAAACCAATAGGGAGGGCAGTATGGAGATTCCTTGGTAAACTTCAAATAGAACCACCACTGGACCCAGCTATCCCACTCCTTGGTTTATTTATACACAAAGGACTTAAAAACAGCATACTAGAGTGATACAGCCACATCATTGTTTATAGCAGCACGTTTCACAATAGCTAAACTGTGGAACCAACCTAGACGCCTTCAGTAGATGAATGTATAAAGAAACTGTGGCATATATACACAATGGAACATTACTCAACATTAAAAGAGAATAAAATCATGGCATTTGCAGGTAAATGGATGGAGTTGGAGAATATTATGCTAGGTGAAGTAAGCCAATCCCCCAAAACCAAATGCTAAATGTTTTCTCTGATATGAGGATGCTGATCCATAATGGGGATGGGGTGGGGGGTGGAACCTGGAAGGAAAACTTTAGATAGGGCAAAGGGGAGGGAGGGGAAGGCAGGGGGAGGGTGGTAGGAAAGATGGTGGAATGAGAAGGACATCGTTACCCTAAGTACATGTATGAAGACATGAATGGTGTGACTCTACTTTGTGTACAACCAGAGACATGAAAAATTGTGCTCTATATGTGTAATATGAATTGTAATACATCGTACTGTCACATATAACAAATTAGAATAAATAAACAAAGAAATATATGACATGAACTGACACAGAAATATGACCCAAAGGGTGTAGAAGTCCTAACTCCAACCCAGCTCTTCATGCCCACTGTGTTCCAGGATTGAGGGATAGAGAAAGATGACAGTCAGTCCACAGCTCACCAGACCATGCACACTGCCAAAGTGCAGGTGTGTAAGGGACTGTGTGTTCTGGGCACTCAGGGGAAGAGGCCACAGTTGGGGTGGTTTCTCCCAGGAGGTGGCATCTGGATAGGATTATGAACTGAGGAAATGGGGCTAGAAAGATGAGGCCCAAAGGTCTGGGGACAAAGAGTCGTCCATGGTCAGGTCAGAGAGCTGGGTGAGGGCAGGGAAGAACAGGAGGCTGGGCAAACAGAGAAGGGCTAGAACATCACACTAAGGAACCTGGACTTCATCCCAAGTCAGTGGCTCTGAGTTTTGGATTTCAGGGTCCAGTATAAGTTCGATAAATCTGGGAACTCAGGACAGATAATGATTGTTTTGCCAAATGAGGCCATTAAAAACCAAACCAAGCAGGTGTAGCACCACTCATCTGTAATCTACAGAACTCTGGAGGCAGGAGGAAAGCAAGTTCAATGCCACTCTCAGCAATTTAGGAAGACCCTGTCCCAAAATAGAAAGGGCTGGGGATGCAACTCAGTGGCAGAGMACCCCTGGGTTTGGTCCCCAGTACTGGGGGTGGAATGAGGTAGGGTAGGAACCAAACCCGAACCAAAAACTCAGCCCTAACTACCACCTATTATTACCATCATTTCAAAAAGGGCACTTAACACCAAAAAAGATGGAAGAACACAAAATCAGAAAGAAAGACGGTCCTTCCTTCACCAAAAAGAGACAGCTGGTCCCCTTCTGCCAACATGCCCATGGCCACCACATGGTCCTCATTCTCTTTTTTTCCTCAGACAAATGGAAACTTCCTCGTTGAATGGGACAGAAACCACAGCTATGGGACAACTCAGGCATGAGACTTGTGCATCCAAGATGGGATATGAGTTTTGCTCACAGATACAAAATAAAGCAAAGGTAATAAATAAAGTGTGTAGCCTGTGTGCTGGCACGGCAGGAGGAGATGACATTCCCTGGGACAAAGAAAAGCTTCCATGGTCAGATGGGCTGGGGAAGCACAAAGGCTTTCTTCTTTTCTTTCTTTTTTTTTTTTTTTTGCAATGGATGGAACAGGGCCTGGTGCATCTGGTGTACGCTAGGCAAGTGCGCTACCACCAAGCCACACCCCTAGCTTTTAAGACTTTTTGAGACTTTAAAAACTAGTTTATTATTTGTGCATTTGCTTCTGTAGGACTCAAATGTGCAAGCGATCCCTGATGACTGGACTCCAAAACCCAGTGTTCCCCCGACCAGATTGACCATGGGGCCTTCTTCTCAGTCCCGAGCTGGTTTGGGAAGCTCCTCAGGCAGACTGGCAGCAGGCAGACTGGCAGCTGTGCAGAGGCGCATTCCTTAACAGCAGGGTGAGGTTCACTGGCAAGATCAGAGAAGAGCACAGCAAGCCCGAGGAGGCAGGGTGAGTGTGGGTGAGTGACACATCCCTGCACCTGCCCGCAGGCAGACCCTGTACCTCCAGGTCTGAGTTGATGGAGGACACCTCAGAGGAACTGCTGGAAGACACTCGGGCCCGGATGACCTGAACGGGAGGGTACGAGGGGGGCTCTTGCAGTGACGCGTCTCCTGTGCTGGTCTGTCCATCACCAGGTAGTCTCATGGCACCACAGCTTGCCTGCAAGGTGTGTGGGAAAGAGCAGGTGGGGACACTTATTTTAGAATTGTTGAAGCATCCGCACACTTCAGTTTTAAAAGGTCCAAAGGGTGTGCAGTGGTCACCTGGCACCATCATCCCTTGACCACCCCGAGGCAGCCAGTGCCCAAGCTCCTGCGTCCTTCCAGATCTTACACACTCTCACACACACACAAACACACACATTTCCCATCTGCACAAATTATAGCACAATTCATATTCTCTTACACACTTAATTTTTTTTTTTTTTTTACTTAACAATATGCCTTGAGATAGTTCTATCTTAGAAGCCTTGAAGCTTAGGGGTACCATTGTGGGTGTTCATATCTGCTCATCAGTCCCCTAGTGGTGAAGGTTTAGGGTACCACTTATCCCTTGCATTTACAATCAGTGCTGACTGCAGCAAATTCCACCAGACATCCAAGATTTCAGGGTATTCAGAAGATAAATTCCTAGAAGGAAAACTAGTGGATCGAAGGGTGTGTGCATGTGTGACTTAGTCAGCTCTTGCCAAAAATGCTCTCCATCTAGGCTTTACCTTACCTACTCATGCTGTGGCAGCATACGAGAGAGCATTTGGGAGAGTTGGGAGGTAAGGGAAGAGGTAACCTGAAAGATATCTATTTATTCTCTGGCAGGGCTCACAGGGGGCTTCCTCAGAGTTCAGAGTCACATGGGAGTCCAGACATTCCAGGCCATGACACAGAAGCAGCTCACCTGCTTTCTGGGCCTCAGAAGGAAATCAGCCCTGAGTCTCAGGTTCCTGATCTCTCAAAGCGGGAGGTAATTCCTGCCTGGCCTCTATTGAAGGAGTGTCATGGGGCCCTGTGTAAATGCTCTGGACATAGGAAAAGAATGCCTGGGAGTGTTTGTCCCCAAATCAAGCAGGGCTTGGCCCTCAATGGGCTAAATGCACAGTGTCATGTGAGTCATTGGAACAGGTAGAGAAAATAAACAAAGAAATACACTCAGTGTTCAGCCCAAGAACATGGGTGAGGTGCCAGCCCTGCGGCTCTCCTCTCCTGCAAAGGTGCTGAAACAGGAACCTGTGGGCGGAGGTGGGGAAGCAGGTGGCTCCCTGGCAACACGGATAAATCTTATAATCTGCTAGGGCGTGCCACATCCGAGTCAACAAAGAGGCGGAGTTTTCAAATGCTCCAAGCAAGAATGAGGCAGTTGATCTATGAAGCTCTATGCCCCTCTCTAAGCCTGGCCTGAAGGATGAGTGGCACCCCTGGCACCTCCTCAAAGTCTCCCCTTAGGATTGGCTCTTTGTTAGCAAGGGATGCTGGGAAAGCGAGGAGCATCCCTGTGGCCCTTATTACCCATTTCTAGATGACTGTCCAAACAGGATCTGTGTCAGTGCATATGACCAACTGGGTACCTTTCTCACCACACCCTAGCCCACTGGGGTCATTTCATTGAAAAAAGGTAAAACCGGGCTGGGGATGTGGCTCAAGTGGTAGCACGCTCGCCTGGCATGCGTGCGGCCCGGGTTTGATCCTCAGCACCACATACCAACAAAGATGTTGTGTCCGCCGAGAACTAAAAAATAAATAATAAAAATTCTCTCTCTCTCTCTCTCTCTCTCTCTCCTCTCTCACTCGCTCTTAAAAAAAAAAAAAGAAAGAAAAAAGGTAAAACCAAAAAATCACTGAGCAGGTACAATATGGCAGCAGAGGAAGTGTGTTCTCTTTATAAAAGCTCAGGCCCCCAACTCAGATAGGCTTAGTCTGAAACCTGTTTCTGTGATTTCCTAACTGTGGAATCTTAGGTAAGTTACTTAAGTTCTTTGTGCCTCAAGTTTTTTGTTATTATTGTTGTTTTGGTTTTGTGCTGGGATAGAACCCAGGGGTGCTTTCTCACTGAGCTATATCCCCAGCCCTTTAGATGCTTTATTTTGAGACAGGATCCTACTAAGTTGCTGAGGCTGGCCTTGAACTTGCCATGATTGTCTTGCCTCAGTCTCCTGAGTTTCTGGGATTATAGACTTGTGCCACTGCACCTGGATTTTTTTTTTTTGGAGACCGGGTCTAGCTATGTTACCCAGGTTGGCATTGAACTCCCAGCTCAAATGATCCTTCTGCCTCAGCCTCTGTATAGATGGGAGTACAGGTGTGCACCACCATGCTTGGCTCTGTGACTCAACATAATTATTATTAGTTAAGATTAAAAAATAGATTAATAATAGTATCTACTTCAGGGGCTGTTGTGATAATTTGTATTAATATTAACAACTGTTTATAACGTACTTACTTGGAGTCAGCCATAGTGCTCACTTAGAGGATGGGCAGCATAGTGGAGCAGGGCACAAGCTCAGGTAGAAGCAGGTCTCAATACTGGATCTACTACCATTAAGCTGTGTGACCTAAGCAAATTGTGTACTCTTTCTGTACCCCAGTTTCCTTGTGTGTAAAATGAGAATAATATCTYAAGGGTTGACAATGAGGGTAAAAATGTCAATCTTTGTAAAGGACTTAGATCAGCACTCTATCCCATAAGCACACCAGGTAGTGTTCATGGTTACTGTTTGCTCAGAGCCTGGCAAGTAGCCCTCACTCAGTAAGCAGCTGCCGTGCTGGCCCAGGAGCCTTAGGAAGGGCTTTCTGCAAAGGCTGGATGGACTGTGGGACTCTGGGCTCCCCTCCTGGTCTCGCCCTCTGGTGGACACAGATGGAAGAGCCGGCAGAAGCTCAAACCAGCTGGGGGCTTCAGTTGCTCCCCATGAAAGAGAAACTGTGCGCCCCCAGCAGGGACCCAGGCAACCCTGACTTACAGAATCAGTTACAGTGAACATACCTTTTGCCCCTTCTTTCCTGCGGTGCTGGGGATGGAACCCAGGGCCTTGTGTGTGCCAGGCATGTTCTCTACCACACAGTATGTGCCAGCCTCGCACACGGCTTCTTTTTCAGAAGTTAGTTCCATAATTTAAAATCGTCTAGTGCAAAGCTTTGGCCAAATGCCACCAGAGTTCCCTGTGTCCTCCTGAGGGCCTCCCACAACCCACCCACCCTCCTCCTTATGGTCAGAAGGATGGTTTTGTGGCTGAAGTGGATTCTTTAATTGTGACAGCATGCTCTAACTCTGACCTTCGCTTATCACACAGGGGTGGCTGCATCCAACATCCGAGGAACAACAATAGCCAGGAGTAAAGCTTATTGGTCAGGCCAAACTCATTCCCAGCACCAGTGTCCTCTGGGCAGCTGGGCAGGGACCACATTGCTGAGCATGCGCTCAAAACATCCCTTTACCCAGGAGCCATGACTCCCAGGTTACAGGCACTGGGAGCCATCAAGACAGGAGACAAAGTTTGCATCCCAGCAGGAGATGGCCAGCTCACAAAGGTAAGAGGCAGGGGGAAGAGCATTGCAGAGAACTTCCAGAGACAGCAAAGTGACAGGACAGAGCAGTGGAGGCTACTTCTGTCTGGGGGTTGGGGAAGGCCTGTGGGGAAGGTGACAAAGATCAGCAAGCGGCAGCCATTGTGGGCTGGTGTGTGCTGCGTGGTGGGGCACCCCATGCAGCACTGCTGGAGAGGAGTGAAGCAGGGAGAGAACAGGGGGAGCAAAGGGGGCGTGGCCTGGGCTTGGGGAGCCTGGGAGTTTCTGAAAGGAGTTTAGATTTTTGTCTGGTACAGTGGCGCACGCCTATCATCCCAGAGGCTCAGGAGGCTGAGGCAGAAGGATTGCAAGTTCAAAGCCAGCCTCTTAGCAAGGCTCTAAGCAACTCAGTGAGACCCTGTCTTTAAATAAAATATAAAAAAGGACTGGGGATGTGGCTCAGTGGTTAAGTGCCCCTGGGGGTTCAATCCCTGGTACCAAAAAAAAAAAAAAAGGAGTTTAGAGTCTATTCTGCATGAAAAGGAAAGCCAGAGGAGTGTTTTAATCAAGGACAAGACAGTAATAGGTTTGTATAAGATCCTCTAGCTGCTGGTGCAGGTGGAGTAGTGATGCAGACTAGCTAGGAAGCTGCGGGCCTATTTTATTATTTCATTTCATCTCATTTTATTTTGTTTGCGCTGGGGATGGGACTCAGGGCCTTGCACCTGCTAGGCAAGCACTCTGCCTCAGAGCTATACCCTGAGCCCTCAAGATTTATTTTAAAGGAAGCATTTACAGGAGCCATAAATGGACTGTGGACATGGGGGTGTAGTAAGGCCAAGGAAGGAACTTCTGGCTTCAGCCACTGCATGGACAAGGGTGTCATTTACCATGATGAGGAAAATGGGATTAAAGCCAGGAGAGGTAGGAAATCCAGAATTCTGTGTTGGAGGCAAATGTGTGAGATGCTGTGTGGTGCCACCAAACAGGCATCTGGGCAGCTGGGACTGGAACTGAGTGGAGAAGAAAAGGACATAGATGCAAACCAGGGAAGCCAGCAAGAGGTGGGACTGTGGTCCTCAAGAGCACACCCACAGAAGGGGGCCCCCCACTCTAAAGCCAAGCGTGATGGGAGGAGCCAGCAGAAGCCATGGGGAAGGATTAGCTTATGAGCATGGTGGGAAAGCCAGGAACACGGGGACCACAGAAATCACAAGAGAAATGACTGGATTTAGCAACAGGAAGGTCACTAGTGACCTTGAAAAGAACAGTCTGATTGGAATAGTAGGACGATGGGGTGAACTTCTCCCCTCTTCCTCAACCCTCTTCCACCTGAGGACCTGGAGTGTGGGCCAGGACCCTGAGAGTCACCCAGAGCCCTCCTTCCCCTTGACCCCACATCCTTGGCCCCTCACACACTCCGCTTCCCAGCTCTTGATTCCACCTCTGCTTCTCCTGCTGCAGCCTTGGTGCAAGTCAAACCACCTCTTCCCAGGACTTAACACTGCCCTGGCTGACGGCCCTGCTTCTAGGAGGCTGAGGTACTCTCTCCTGCTCACCCAACAAGGCCCAGTGAGGCTCTGAAATGCACAACTGACCTGAGTCTAGCACTGAAGCCTCCCAGGTGGGGCTCCCACCACCCTCAGGGTGATCGTTAGCCTCCCTGGGTGGGGATCTGTACCTTTTTATCTCCCTTATTCTGGGAGGATAATAGAGTAGGGCACCTCAAATATGCCTTGTTGGCATATGGATTACTTTGAGTTAAACACAAATGAAAACCAGCACAAGTGGAGAAGATATGCACCTAACTGCCTACAAGTAAAGAAGAGTTGTCCCTTGGTGTCGATGGGGAAGTGGTTCAGGACCCCTCAGCTGCTCAACTCCTTTGGCTAAATGGCGTGGTATTTGCATATAACCGGTGCACCTCCTCCATATGCTCTACATCACCTCTTAGATACGCCTAATATCTAATTCAATGTAAATGCCATGGAAATGGTTACTATAGTATGTTCTCTAGGAGACAATGACAACTAAAAAAGACTACATTTTCAGTACGGAAATACATTTTTTTTTCAAATATCTTTGATCCACAGTGAATTGATCAAGGATGTAGAACCCATGGATATAAATGTTCCTTGTAAAGGAAATTTATTTTTACAAAGGAAACTTACATTTGTTCCCTGGGACAAGAGCCACTTCCAGAGACAACTCTCACCACTAGAGACTTGTTGCATTAACAAGACAACCCTTAATCACCATACACTTCCTCCCTCGTCTTTCCTAACTTGCTCCCCAACACCAGAAGCCCCAAACCCCTTTTCCTGCCATAGTTTTTTTTTCATGAACTTCCGCATACACGTAATTAAAGTATGCTCTCTCTTACTCATTTCTGTCTTTTGTTGGTTTGATTCATAATCCTCAGCCATTATACCTAAGAGGGTAGAGGAAAAGCCTTTTTCCTCCACTCTGCTCCCCTCCAGCTGTCCCACATGCAGCCTTGGAGAGATCCTTTTTCACATGGTTCCTATCAGCTAAAGTATCACCTCCTCCAGGAAGCCTTCCAGGACTAATTCCCACCCTTATGGACACTTAGCCATGGCCCAGGCTGGCCACTCACCTGCTGTATAGGCTCGATGGTCAGCTCCATGTAGTGACTGATCGCTGCCATCGATTTCAGTGACTTGCAGTGTGACAGGGTAGTGAGTGGCACCCAATCTGAAGTCTTTGAAGTGGAGACAGGGAGAAAGAAATTTTAAAGTCAGAAGGCATTTTCTAGAAACGGGGTCCCATTTTGTTTAAAAGAACGCCTAGGGCATTTTGTTTGTTTTTAAGGTACAATTTCACTTTTGGCTTCCTGTAAGATGTGCTCTCTACTGAGGTCACCCATGGGCCAGTGGTTCCTAAATTTTGCAGTGCAATGAAATCAGTTAGGGATCTTAAAAAGCAACACACTGGTGCTTAGTTGCCACCCAAGGACATACTGATTTAATTGGCATGAGATGGAACCCGGGGCTGGGAAGCTTCCCAGGTGGTTCTAATGGGCTGCAGAATTTGGGATTCACTGCAGTGGTGTTAAATAATGCATTTGTAAACTGGGCACAGTGGTGCGTGCCTATGATCCCAGCTACTTGGGAAGCTGAGGCAGGAGGATCACAAGTTCCAGGTCAGCATCAATGACCTAGAAAGATATGATATCAACATAAAAAGTTAAAAGGGCTGGAATACATCTCAATGACAGAGTATCCCCAGGTTCAATCCCCAGTATTGGAAATAAAAAAAAAATGCTTTTGTAAAGCAGGGGTTCTCAATCTTTAGCATGAGCTTGTTAAAATACAGATTGCTGGACTCCACCAGAGCCCTAGAATTTTCATTCCTAACAGGTTAGCAGGTGAGACTGGTCCAGGGAGCACACTTCGAGAATCACTGCTGCCAAGGATTGCTGCAAGATTCCAAAGGTTTCTACTTCTCTATTCAGAATATTCAGACATGCAGAACTTTACATCCTTGGCTTTCCTTTTGGGGTATGATTTCATACCCCATGCTGGAATAGAATGAAAGTAACTTCCCCTTAGGAGTTTTGTAAAGCCTAAAGAAAAGGCTTTTACCTTTGTCATATACACCATCATCTTCTAGCTATTAACTCAGATCACAATGGTAAGCCTGAAATACTCCAAGGAGCAGCTTTACTTTTTACCTGTTCAAATACACCCACTGTCCACCTCCCTCTTCCTTCTTCCTGGCCACAAAGGATGTTGGCTCACAGTCTCATTCCCATTCTCTCTAAAAGGAACTTAAGGTAGCTCAGGTAACAGGCAAAAATATCCCCCCCCAAAAAAAAAATTAGTGAAAGAGGGAGCTGACTTATATTTAAGTCCTTACAAGTTTTCTTGTATTATGGGTTACTGTCTCAACTCTTTGGAATCAAGTTCTTTTGATGAAGACAAATTGCCTTAATCAGAATAAGTTCTGGCTACTTGTAGAGGTTAAATGATTGAATTGTTAAAAAAGGAGGCAAAAGTCTGGGGCATGTGTGGAGCTCCTGCCTAGCATGTGTGAGGTCCTGGATTCAATCCTCAGCACCACCAAAAAAAAAAAAAAAAAAAAAAAAATGGCAGAAGGATCACAGTTCAAGGCTGAGGATGTGGCTCAGTGGTAGAGTGTCCCTGAGTTCAATCCCTAGTAACAAACACACGTGAAGGAAACAAACATATTCAGCTCAGACATATTAAGTTATTAATGGTATAACAAAGTCATAAATGGTGGACATTATTGTAAATGAAACTTCTGAAGATCAGCTTTTTAGTAATATCAACTAAAGTGTAGTATGGTAACAGAGCAGTGCTGATCACAAATAGCACGTGGGTCATTGTGGCTTAAGATAAATTTCTAGAATCAGCACTGCACACAGATTCTCACAAAGTCCAGACCAAATGACTTGGTAAGGTGATGGGCTCTGGAACATTGTGTCACGTGGAGGTGATGATATGGGTGTCAAAGAGTCATGTGAAAGTGGGCAGACATATTTTTATAAGATATAAATGGAAATCAAATTTTGAAACTAATACATGGATATTATATATGGCGTAGTATGTGAGTTCATCTGTTATCAAGTAATGGAAGTGGACATTTGACTATCACACCTACATTGTTAAAAGTATATCACTGAATAAACTTGACAGACTTTTAAAACTGGGAAGATGGAGGATCCCATTGCATTCAAGGTCATTAGCTTTGGACAGAAACAGCAGCTTTTTAAGTGACCAGCTGGCCAACGGTGGAAGGACTTCCAGAGTTCCCAAGCCCAGCCCTCTGCGAGGCTCTCTGCCTCTCCAGCTAGCAAACACTTCTGTGGGGCCAGAGGTTTTCCCAGGAGAGACCTTGTCCTTGGTCCCGGCCTCCTGGTTCTCTCCCTCCTCCTCTGCACAGGTCAGAAGGGCCTGGGTGTCGGGGCTCTCTCTGGCTTCTGTGGAGAATCCTAAGGCTTGCCTCATCTTGCTCTTCATCACACACGAAAGGAAGATGATCTGAGATTTGGAAGTTAAGGGACAAGGAAGTGGAAAGCTTCCGGCCGCCCGGCACTGCCCCTCACACCACATGCACCTTCCCAGCAGCCCCTGCTCCATCCTGCTCACCCTGGGCTCCTGTCCCTTCCTTTCCCAGAATTATCCTGCCTGTCTGTCCCCAGACGAGTGCTCATTTGAGAACAGGGTCAGGTCTCTCTCTGCACTCCTGCCCCTGGCAAATACTCATTAAACAAAAACATTTTGAAAAACATCTTTCCTGACTGGCTCTCAGTGACAGAACATAAAGTGGGTTGCAAGTGTCTCTTGAAAATTCATATCCATCTGGAGCTTAGAATATGACCTTAATTTGCAAGTAGGGTCTTTGCTGATTAAATCATTTAAGAGGAAGCCACAGTGGATTGGGGTGGGTCTTAACATCTAATGACCACAGTCCTTATAAGAAGAGAGGACACTAGAGATGCATGAAGAAATGAAGGCTTATGAAGATACAGGCAGAACCCAGGATGATGAGGCCACAAGCCAAGGGGCTACAGAAGCTGGGAGAGGCAAGGGAAGAGTCTCCCCAGAGCCTTCAACCTCAGGGCCCACCCTGCTGGGTTATTCGCACTCCGTCACCAATGCAGGCCAGTCCCACTGCCCACGTCCCCAGCAAACGTGCAATCCACTGCCCGAGTTTAGCTTGCCCTTGAAGCGCTCATGACAAGGTCACCTGGGTACCAGCACATCAGGCACACCTGGGAGAACCAGAAAGGTGCTCTGCAGTCACCAACAGATGCAGCATTTGTCAGCTTTGATCCTTGCTCCTGCACCACAGGCTCCAGCTCCAGAGAGCAGAGCAGAAAGGGAGCAACTCCCTGAGCAGGGCCTGCAGGGCTGGGAGAAAGGCTGGGATCACGGCTCATGGGAGTGGAGACAGTGGCACCAATCCAGGAGGAGATGCCCCCTGGGGAGCTGAACTGAGCCTGGCACCTGGGGCTTCTGACCTCAGGGCCAGGAGCCTGCCACTCCTCTTTGCTGTTTCAGAGAGCCCCAACCAGGAGATAAATTCTTCTTGTTTTAAAAAGGGGAAGCACCAAACCACAAATAATTGCATTTGTGTCTGCCTGTCCCAGGCTTCAAACCACCCCATCTCTCAAGAGTTCTACCCACAAGAGGGAAGGAGGGAGTATGGGGGTGAGACACAGGCCGGCCTCCTCTGGCTGCAATCAGCTCCTCCCTCCCCCACCCATGGGGCCTAGGGTGGATACAGCAAGGTCCAGAGCAGCACGGCCAAGGGAGGTCAGGAACCAGGGTGTAGCCCGAAGCAGGTACTCGGGCTGCCGGTCATGGGCCACGATGGCTGAGGCGTAGAGGAGGCCTGCCAGGGCGGACAGCAGCCGTGTCCACAGGTGGATGTAGGAAAATGACTTCCCCTGGCACTGGGCAGAGAGAGAGAGGAGGGGAGTGGCAGGGGAACCCCAGATCCTGAGGCCCAGGACCCTTGGTGGCACAGCAGGTGGCCCGGGGCAAGCCCTCCACCCCAGCCACTCTCCAGGGGCCGTGCTGCCTCTGTTTGGCTTTCAGCTTTTGCTCAAGCTGCTTCCTTTGCCTCACAAACTCCTACGCATCCCTCAAAACCTGGCTTAAACTAAACTCTAGGAAACCTTCCCTGGGCCCTTCCACCAGAGGGGGAGCAAGTAACCCTCTCTTCTGGGCCCTGTCACACTAGACCCATCCCCTGGCAGAGTGCCTTTGCTGAGTATGACTTCACTCTTTACACATTCACAGAGCTCCGTGCTAGGTCCTTGCCATCTCAGTGCCCCAGCTCCTGAGGCTAGACTGCAGGCCTTCGTGACTGCCAGCTAGGGTAGGGGTGAGACTGAGTTATAAAACACCACACCCACCCTTCTCCTGCTGGGACCCCCAACTTTGAACCAGGACAAATAGAAAAGGTCAGGAAAATGAGAGGTAGTAGCCAAGGGGACATTTCTGCAGAACAAGTAATGGAAACATATTGGTTCAAAAACAAGAAACATGCAATATTTATATGTTAGTAGACTTCACAAGTATTGAGCCACCATATATCTATCTATATCTGTCTATCTATCTAGATAATATATATGCATGTCCACAAAACTATTAATTGGATAAAATTACATATTTTAAATTACTTCTATTTATGAATATATAGTATTTTTACTAGATGACCATATTTAGAGGCATTGGGACTTGGCTAAGGAATGGGAAAAAATGCAGGGAAGAACATGTTTGGGCCAATTTCCTCCCATTTTAGTTCTCAAAAAGAATCCTCATGAATGTGTCTGCATTTCATCTACTTTTGCTCTAGGGCCTGTTTCCAGCCACAATCCACTGGAGACTGGTGAATCAAGACAGCACAGTCAGATACAGAGTACCTGGCCAGCAGGGGTGGGCCTGGCCCCTGCCCCAGAGGCTGAGGCCCTTTCCCATGGGCCTTCCCACCTCAGACAGGCAACAGGGAAGCTGGAGCTGGAGGCCTTGGGGTTCCCCAGTCTGAAGGCCCCACTGTGGCCCTAGGGAACACCACAGGCAGTCAGGGTGCTGTTCTGGCTCTGTCAAAGGTCTTCTGCAGTGGGGCTCCCCAGTCCCCAGGCCACCCTGAAGACCCACTAAGTGGACTAAGCCCAAGGCTCCCTGTTTCCCCTCTTAAGTCTGAAGCTGGGACACTTGCTGGTGAGGTCATACCCTGGGGTGTTTCTGGCCTTTAGCAAGGGATTAAACCTTCAGGCAAATGAGCACCAGTCCCCAGTCCCTACCCCCATCCTCCCTTCTGTTATTAAAACATGGTGCTTGGGCTGGGGTTGTGGCTCAATGGTAGAGCACTTGTCTAGCATGTTTGAGGCTCTGAGTTTGATTCTCGGCACCACATATAAATAAATAAAGTCCACTGACAACTAAGAATATATTAACAAAACATGGTGCTTCTGGGCTTGTGATCCTTTTTAGGCCCCATGATGGGCCTCCTACATTTCATGGAGTTAGCATTGGCACTGTTCCTGAGACAGGAACACCTGTGACAGAGTCGGCCAAGAACACCTGGCAGAGCAGTTGTCACACCAGCTCTGGAGCTTGCCCTTCTCAGGCTCTGAGAATGGTGACGTTCCTGTACCTCTTCCTCTGCCCAATTGTCCTTTCCTCACCTCTGCTGCCTCATATCCACTTTCCCCTCTGAGCCCCCATGAGAGCTCTCTACTGCTCACAGCCTGGCAGCGGGGATGGTCTCCTCTTTGCATGCTAGAACTGCTTAGGAACCTTCTCCCTCATCTTCCAAAATACCAAACCTTCTTTTCTACCTTTCTTAGAGCACTAAAATATCTTGTTGCACATTCTGTCCCTGATGAGACTACGGGCTCTCCAAGGACACCTCACATCTGTACCCCCAACAGGACTGGCCAGCAGGGCTTCCTTCACCCCAGATACTTGCAAAACATCTGCTGATAAGATGCTCTGGGACTACAGAGCCCTAGGAGCTGAATGCATCTGACCTCTAGGCCCTTTGCACTTGAGAGGGACCCTTGTTTGTTCCAGCCCAGTGGCTTTTCCTGGTCTGCTTTTCCTTGGCTGTAAGAAATAGGAAACAGGCTGATGTGATAGCATACGTCTATAATCCCAGTGACTTGAGAGCCTGCAGCAGGAGGACTGAAGTTCAAGGCCAGCCTGGGCAACTTAGTGAGACTCCTACTCAAAATAAAATAAAAAGGGCTGTGGATGTGGCTCAGTGGTAAAGTGCCTGCCTAATTTGCCTAGCATGCATGAAGCTTTAGATTCATCTTCAGGACCATTAAAAAAAGAAGAAAGAGAAAGAAATGGGAAAGAACACAGTGGGCCTTCCATTAGAGCCCCAGACGACCTCAGGACGCCCTGGCTCAGCTGCCCACTCCCTGTATACACACCCTCACTTCTGTCATTCGTTGTAGCTCTTCAGAGAAATGTAAGTGCATGTGTGTCACATGCACAGTGACACCACAGCTCCAGGATGACCTGGAGCCTCCAGGATGCTCCCTGTGTCCTGGGACCTGCCACATGACCTATAGCCCCAGCCCCACCCCAGCCTCACGATTCTGGAGAGTGGGGGTATCCGAGAGGCCCAGGCGCCCAAGGCAGCAATGACACCCAGCAGGTAGCCGAGGACTTCGGTATTTTCCTGCAAGAATAGATGACATTCTCAGCACTCTATGGGATCATCCATGTGTCCCAAGAAGCAGAAGAACCTGGTGGGCACTTTTCTGCTTTTGGAAGTTTCCTTCCCAAAATGGCAAGGGCTTACTGGCCCCCAGCCCCACTCCCAACGCATCCAGGGCATTCAGCCAGCAGGGACCCCAAGGAGGGAGGCAACCCCGTTCTACCCTGTGTGCTCACTGAGGGGGCTCAGCCTCACCTGCAGCAGGCTTCCCAGCAGCCTCCGCTGGGGCCCCCGGACTGGAGCTGAAGCCTTTGGAACAGCAGCCCAGAGAGCCCAGCCTGGGCTCAGGCTCAGTGGCAGAGCCAGGGCAAATATGCCAGCTCTGAGCCGCTTCCTCCTCTTCCTCTTTCTGGTGTGTCGGCCTGCAAGAGACACCAAAATCCCATGTGTCTTCTGGAACCTAGAACTTGCCAGCTTGCTGCATGGGAAGAGCTGGCATGTTGTGCTGCAGCTGGATCCTTCCCACCTCAAGTCCCTGGGGTTAGGCCACCTCTTTGAAATGCCTTCCCTCTTCCCCTAACAATTAGCCACCTCTTTGAAATGCCCTGGCCATTTCCATAATCGGCACAGAGCAGAACTGGGCCAAGTTTCATGAATGCACCCATGAGTGAACAGTCTATACCAGGCTCGTGCTTGATAAGCAGGGCAAACAGCAACAAGAAAAGTCTTTGACAATTTTCTCGAGATCTAAGACACACACTCCTCTGAGCATCTAAGAACACTTCTCCTCTGGGCAGCATGGAGCAGCTGGGGGCACCACATATCCCTCACTGGGACAAGCAAACCCTCTTTTGAACAAGGACCCCAGCACACAGCTGTCCCTTCTCAGGAACACTCAGTCTCACATACTCAGGGCTCCTTGTCCATCTCAGTCACTTCCAGGCCCTGTTCTGCCAGGGCTGGTCCAAACTTTTTCTGGTATCCATTTACAGAAGTTTGGGGGCTTTGCTTGGCCACCCAGACTTATGTGCTGTTCATCCCTGCTCCCAGCCCTGGCCCAGGCTGTTCTGTTCGCCTGACTTCCCCTTCCTGGGCTCCCAGTTCCGTATTCAGTGCTTCCCTGATACCCGCAATCCATTCCCTCTGGTTGCCCACAGTGTGCACACACCTCCAAGCTGACACTAGTGATTAGTGACTAGCTTAGGGCCCTGGCTGTCTCATCTGGCAGATGTCAAGGACCTCATTCATTTGTGTCTGCCTGGGGCCCAGTTCAAGTTGTGATAAGCAGCAGGCACCAAGCCAACTGATGAATGAATGTTTGAATGAAGACAGGAGCACACGGCCACACGCTCACCCGAATGAGACTTGAATTTGGATCCACAGACTGGGAAGAGGACGAACATGAAGTTGGCTAAGTCAACAGTCGCTAGGTAGGCACCACTGAAAACCTGGGGGCAGAAGGAAACTCAGTCTTGGTATTTGAGCATCTTTTCCCAGCAATTATGGTGACTATCAGCCCAAGATCCCCTGACCCTGTATAATCAGTCCAGTGATCCCTCCCACTCACGTTTGAGCACATGGGGCGTGCTCCAACAACTGACCCCAAGTTACACAGATGCCCACTGGTGGAGATGGGACAAGAACCCAGCCCTTTGCTTCCCTCCGCACGCGTTCCATGGCTGTCTAACTATGGCCCAACCACTGAATCTCCCTGAACCTCAGTTTTCCCACCTGTGAAACAGGCATAACAGAGCCTCCCCAAAACCTGTTGAGAAGATTTCTTGAGATAATTGGTGGAAAGTGCTTAGAACAGCGCCTGGAGAGAGTAAAGGACCTACGGAGGCACCGGTGACTATGACAGTACACTTAGATTAGGAGCCCGCGTGGTGGAGTTGGAATCCTGACACTACTTATTGGCTGGTGACCTTTCACAAATTATTTAACGTCTTGATGCCTCCGTTTCCACCTATATAGAAGGGGGAGATGAGCACATGCCAGAGGAGAATCTGAGGATTAAATAGGTAATATATGGAAGGATATAGTTAAGTATCTAGTAAACATTAGTTATTATCATCGGACTTGAGTGAGGCCTCATTCTATGGGAATGAGCACCCATAAAAAAGGGGGTTTTGCTTCTGAGAGAACACTGCTCAAAGCAGGGCCTAGAAGTCTTGCAACCTGTGTCCTGACCACTAGGTCATCTCCTTTACTTCCACCTTGGTGGGCACAAGGCCCATGTGGTCCCTGCAGGGGGACCCTGCAAGTCTTCCTTAGAAGATATTTGCAGATAGGATGTTTCTACAGAGGTTTGTGTGAGGGCCTGACTTTTGGGAAACTAGAGATGGCTTCTCACTTGCTCCACAGCCCACATCAGCACCTGGGAAAGGATTCAGCTGCCCTTGAGTCAGCTGGGGCTGGGCTCAGAGCTTTAAAAACCGTAACAACCATAATAACTATTTATTGAGCATCTACTATAAGCTTTCTGAAGTGGTGGGTATGACGGTAAAGAACTCCTCGCCTTGTGAAGCTGATTTTCTGGTGGGGCTAATGGACAATGAGCAATAAGCGTAAGTACGTGGTAAATGAGGGGTTAAGCTGTGGAAAAAAATAGCACAGGATGAGGGGCCCTGAACTGCTGGAGGAAGAGGTGGGTTATGATTCTACACAGGGGTTGGGGGGCTTATTTTGAAGTTGACTTTGAGCAAACACTTGAAGGAAGTCAGTGATGAGCCATGTGGACATCAGGAAGAAGAGCATTTGACGGGCGCTAGAAGGAACAGACGGATACAGGCCCTGAGGGGGAACTGCCTTGAGGTGGAAGGAAGAAAACAGAAGCCACTGTGGCTGCCTCCGCGTGGGGCCCAACATACCTGGATCGTGAGCTGTCTGGCCAGAATCGCCCCAACGGTGTCGCACAGGCTGGTCAGGAGGCAGCAGGCGGCGCACAGTGGGGACTGACCCTGCCCATGTTTCTTTGTACATCTCAGGTAAAGAAGCCTGGAGTGACGGGTATGCACAGAACACAGGAGCAGTGAGTCTCAGTAGATGTCTAAAAAGGGCAAGGTGACTCTGTGTCTCTATGAAGCACTTTCTCCCCTAGGTGTGTAGCAGGCGTTTATGGACTGAGTTTACAGATGGGGAAGAAAAGAGCAGAAGAACACTGAGCCTCTGGTCAAGAAGCCCAGGCCAGGACTGGGGAGCAGCTCCGTGGCAGAGCACTTGCCTCACATGCTCGAGGGCCTGGTACCAGAGCTCACCCACATGGAGACACCACCTCCTTCTAATGAAGAGGGTGACTTTCCTCCTCCAAGCCAGGTCAAATCCATGTAATGAGCCACTTCTCCACCCTGACAAGCTGGCTCTTGGGTTTTACTTTCTAAATGGGAAGCAAGAAGGTTATAAAAGTCACCCAAGCACTGCTCTAACTGCAGAGCTAACTGCATAAATTAAAAAGATAACTTGGCCAGGTGCAGGGGCGCACGATTGTAATCTCAGCAATTCAAGAGTCAGAGGCAGGAGGATCACAAGTTCAAGGTCAGCCTCAGCAATTTAGCAAGGTTCTGTCTCAAAATAATACTTAAAACAGGCTGGGGAGGTAGAGGTAGCTAGGTGCCAAACCTATGCAAATACCTGATTCAATACTCAGTATGTGCCCAACATTTGCAGATACCTGGGTTCAATATCGCCAAGAAAAAAAAAAAGAAAGAAAAAGATTCTTTGGAATCAAAATGAAATTCCGATCCATCCCTGCCATTGGGTGGCTAGTCTTGGCTGGCCTATGTCCAATCTGAGCATGTTCTTTACCCAGCACTTTGGGCTGCCCTCCCTCCACCTAGATCCTCAGCTGCTACCAGCTTCTCTGCCTAAGGCTCTCTTCCAGTCCCCCACATGCCCAGGAACACAACCAGAAGGGCAGGACAGGATGGAAGGGCCCAGTGGTCTCTCTGGCAGCATTACTGACTGGGTGTCTGACATGATTTGTTCTAGATGTCTCCTTGTTACATTTCTAGGGAAAACCGAGGCTTGACAACAGCTCTGGGTTCACTTCCTTTAACCAGAAGGTGATACTCACTCCCTACTGTGAGGTTCTGAGCCTCAGCCCTTGGGAATGATAGATGGGGATGGAAGGCTGCTGGGTTCCTAAACATTTCCTGACCCACCAGCCCAAGCCCAAAGTTCATAGTGGTAACATCCACCCTTAACCTGGGCTCTGGGATCCTGCAACCAATTCAAGGCCAAGGAGTTAGGACTTTCAAATTAGGGACTCTCAGAGTTGGAGCCAAATGAGAAACAATTTACTTCAACCCTCCCATTTGAGAGAGGAGCAAAGTGAGGCCTATGCTGACAAGGCAGGCTGACGGCAGGCCTTCAGGCTTCCTGTGTAAAGGCCTTGCTCTGTACCCTATTGCTCTCAGCCATTCTCCAGCTTCAGGCGCCAGAGATCCGTGACCAGGCCACACACCACATGGCCACACACATTACCCTAAGACAGCTGGAGGTTCGGGTTGGCGGGGTCCCGAGAACAGACAGGTTCAGCTCCAGGCAGGGTGAGAATGCAGAGGCCCTATTCTCAGACTGGCCAGCTGGACATTCTCAAGGGAGTTCCTTAACCTCTCCAAGCCTTGGCCTCCATGTGGGTAAAATGCCTAACAGCGCTGACCTCGGAGGGTGACTGCGAGGAGCAAAGGTAATCATGCAGCAGGGTCTCCTGAGTTCCCATTCTCTGATCCACAGTTCAGTCCTCACAAGTCTGCCCTTTGTAATAGGAGCTGGTGCTTTGTTCTCTCAGAAACTCATGTTCCTCCTCTGTAAGTGCAGTCACAGTGCCTACCTCATGGGGTGTGGCAGGGACAGGGTGAGAGAATGGTACAGCATTAAGCCCACAGTCTTTTATTTTGTTCCAGTCACTGGGAGCATTATCAAGTGCCTGAGAGCAGTTCTAGGGTGAGCTGGTTCCATTCACTCCTGGAGATTGCCGGTCCATTCTCCCCTACCAGGGAATACTTGGCAGCACTATGCCTCTGGATTTCTTTGCCCAGGACAGAGTGGCTAAAGATTTGGAGGCTTCACCCTTAGAATCCAGGCTACTCTGACCACTGGCCAAAACACTAAAGGTGCTACACAGACAAAGGCAAAAGCTGTAGCCAGAGTCTAGTCGTCGCCATCTCCATTGCACAGCAGCTAGGAGAGCTCTGGGTAAACTGTGGCCAGAAACATCAAAGGACCTGCCAAGGCCCCCAAAGGTTGGTGGCAGAGCTGGAGTGATAATGGTGTTTAATGAGCACTTACTAAGTGTTTTCCCTGTACTGCCTCCTTTCATCCTCCCATCCATCTTATGATGAATTATTGCCATTCACAAGAGGCCCAAAGTCTATAACTCCATCAGCTCACGCTGTGAGTCAGTTTTAAGAGCTGACAATAGAACCCAGTCGGGGCCCCATTCACTGCACCACCCAGCCTCCTGCTGGCTCGCAGCCCAGGTTCCGTGTGCGTGGAATCCGGAAAGAAGTATCCGACTTCAGTTCGTAGAGAAATGTTAGATTTGATCCCGGATTTGTGCTGCCTCCTCCGCCCGCCCCCCTTTAATACTCCTTCCTGTGGGTTTCCAAGAGGGACTAGCAGGAAGGTAACGCCAATCCCCCCACTACAGACCGCCACCCCCTCGCGCGGGTCCCAGCCCCATTACAGCGCGTGGGCGGCGATCCAGCAGGAGGAGGCGCAGATCCACAGGCCAAAGGAGATGCAGACGCGGTGGCGGGCGAAGCAGTGGTCCAGGTAGTCCCAGTCCCAGAGCGCAGGCGAGGGCGCGGGGCTGGGCGCGGGGCTGGGCGCCTCCCCCATGGCACCGCTCGGCGCGCACCGCCCGGCCGGAGCTCCAGCCTCCTCCGCTGCGGGCAGCCCGGGCGCCGCCCGCGCACCCTTCTCCAGGTTCCCCCTCGGCCGCCGCGGCAGAGGTGGGCGCGCCCCGCTCCGCGCTCCCGGGCGCGCGCGGCCACGGCGACACCCGGGGAAAGTTTCCGGGACCGCACGGCTCCCCACCCTCGCGCTATTGTCGGGGGTCGGCGGGGTGCAGGCCGCCCCCCAGCGGCGGGAGAGGGAGCAGCCTCCGCACAAAGGCTGTGGTCCCCGCCCCCGTCACTCCGCGGTGGCGCCGGAGCCCCGCACTCTTCGCCACCATCCAGCCTGAGTCCCGCAGCCGGACGGGACCGGCAGGCGGGCTGAGGGCGGGCCGAGCTTCGGCAGGGTGTCTTAACGCACCTCGTCCATTCACTAATTCACATTTTCTGAACCAAACAATACACACCCTTGTCCTGGAGAAGCGCTTGGGAGCTGGCAACCCGAAGTGAGCGGGCCTTGGTCCCTGTTGTTAAAAGAGTGCAATACAACGAGTGGGTGGGAAACGGGAAGAAAGAGCAAACGCACCGGGATTTTACCGCCCGACATCCTCCTCTCAGCTCTTTCCGCAGCTGTCAACTTCACCTTTGCCCGCTTCCAGTCGCCCGCCCCAAGGGACATCATCCAGACCACAGCCTAGGAGCGGAATCTCTTTGGAATCTGCCCCTTCCCATAGTCACACTGCTTCACGAAAAACAAAGGCTGTTTTTCTTGAAAACACATTGCTATAATTTTTAAATTTCCTTATTGATTTTAGTAAGTTTGCTTAAAGCAGGACGTGACTATCATTTCAGTTTAAAAAATGACAGCTTTATATGCGCCATAGTTCATATACCATAAACTTTACTTTTTAAAAGTGTACTATTCATTGGTTTTTAGTATATCCAGAGTCGGGCAATCAACACCACTAACTAGTTTTAGTACATTTTAATTACTCCTTCCTAACACCTACCTAGAAGTACTCTCCATTTATCCTCAACACTCCTACTTTAGGGATCATAAACCTGTTTCTTAACAATTCTGGACATTCCATATGACTGCAATCATTCAGTGTTGACCTATTTGGGACCAGCTTCTTTCACTTAGCATGTTTTATCAATGTTGTAATATGTATTAGCCACATTCCTTGTTGTGGACTGAATAGTAATACATTGTATAGATATATCACATTTTATTTATTCATGCATCAGTTGATGGGCTTTTTTTTCTGGAAATTATGGAGATTATGAACAATGCTGTTATGAACTTTTGTGTAGGATTTTTTGTGGGACATATGTTTTCATTTCTACTTGGGTATATATCTAGGAGTGCAATTACTGGATCATATGGTAAGTTTATGTTAAATGTTTTGAGAAACAATGTTTTCCAAAGTGGCTACACTACTTTGTTGGTCCATTCATTTTTTAAAAGTTATGATCACTCATAGGAGAAATGAAACACTATGTGGTGTCTTAGGCATTGCTGGGGTCTGAATATTTGCATCTCCTTAAATTCCATATATTGAAATCTAATCATCATTTGGATAGGAGGTGGCACCCTTAGGAGGTGATTGGATCATGAGAGCAGACACAGCTAGAAGTCACCATTTATGATCCAGAAAGCATGCTCTTATTGGATAGCAACCCTGCTGGTGCCTTGATCTTGAACTTTCTAGTTTCAACAACTGTGAGAATTAAATTTATGCTGTTTATAAACCACACAGCCTAGGGTATTTTGCTATAGCAGCCAGAATGGACTAAAACAGGTATTGTGCTAGGAGCTTGGGACATATTGTTGAGAAAAACAGTGGTTCCCCACCTTCATGAAGCTTACAGTCCAGCAGCAGAGAGATGTTCAACATGTGAAATATGTTATTAACCAAATGGGACCAAAATGATAATAATAAAATGATTAAAATGAAGGTATATAAAATGAATACCAGTGGAGGCATGATGAAGTTAAATTAATAGGAAGAAAATGCATAACTCAAGTTTCTCACAGTCTGGGCAAAACTTTAAAATTGCTTTATTTTTGTCCCTGCCAGCCTGGACCAGGTTTATACACCTAAGCAGTGTGGTGACTCCTTTGAGAATCTGAAGAAAACCTCATCCTTGAAAAATTTCTCAATCTTTAGCAATGTGGGGACCCCTCTGAAATTCAACTCTGGGTTCTATGGAGGAAAGAAGTCCAGCCTAAGTTCCTCTAGTTGAAGGGTTTAAGTTCTTCCCTATGAGTCTCTGCCTGGGCAGTTGGGCGGTGTGGTGCATAGGTTGTCTATCAGAATCACTCTGCCTGCCTGTCAATAAAAGCAGACCTATTATCCAACTTTCTGGGTGTGTATCCTTGGAATAAGCATGGCTTCCTGAGACTTCTGTAATAAATTACCAGAAATAATGTGGTTTCAAGAAACGGAAATGGATTCTTTCCCAGAATGGAGGCCAGAAATGGGAAATCAGTTTCATTGTCCTAAAGTCAAGATGTGGGCAGAGCTGCACTCCCTCTAGGGGGACAGGGGGAGAATCTCTTCCTTTCTTCTTTTCTGCAGCTTCTGGTGACTGCCTGGCCTCGACTGCATCCCTCTGATCCTTCTCTGCCTTTGTGGTCACATTGCCTTCTCCTTTGCGTCTGTCAAATCTCCCTCTGTCGTGATACTTGTAATTGCATTTATGTCTACTCAAGTAATCCACAGTAATCTCTCCATCTTGAGTTCCCTAACTTGATCACAATTGCAAAGATCCTTTTGCCAGCTTTATATGCGCCATAGTTCATATACCATAAACTTTACTTTTTAAAAGTGTACTATTCATTTATTTTTAGTATATGCTCCCTTTACATACATTTAGTAAATGCTCCCTTTACAGGTTGTAGGGATTAGGATCTGAGCCTCCTATTCTGTGTTTCTCCACTGTGTTTCCTGGAAGTCTTGTGGGAAACACTGGTTTATGGAGATAGCCATCAGAGGGAAGCTGCTTATAGTCATTGGCCCTGGTGGCTCACAGAAAGACTTATGGGAAGAGTGTGGGCTGTTGGGGCCTGCACAAGGTAGACTGCAATACCGCACCCCCTGCCCCGCCTCCTTGCAGCTGTGACTTAGGGCAGAGCATTGGTCCTCTCTACACTTGTGTGTGTTCCTACCTAGAAAAGGAAGGTGATGGGACCCACCTTAGTGTTGCAGTGATTCTTAGAAATCCTGTAGGTCAAGAAAGACACATGTCAATAGCAAAAGTTACGACTGTCATTCTCTTGCCTAGGAGGTGCCTCAGGTCCACCAAAAAAGAAAAGTTAATAAGAAAGAAAAAGTCCAAAGAGCGTGAAGGTGTGAAGAGGAAGCTCAGCCAATGATGGGGAGACACATGGCTCAGCTCTTGTTTCTCTTTCCTACCTGCCCCCTGGGGGGTCTCCTGGGTCTTCTGGCTGTACATACTCTGCCTGTGCCTCCCAAATGCATATCTCCAGTCAAACCTCCTTCCCCAGTTTTTTTTTTTTAAATTAAGGTACATATATAGAAAAATGATTACTATAGAGGAACACAGTCGTCTCACATAGTCACCTACTCCCCCCATTTCACCCCCAATAAGAGCAGCTACAATCCATTCTTTTAGTCAAAGTCCTAAATACATTAAGTCTCCCCCTTGTTCATCCTACATATTTGCTACTTTGTAGTGTCTGATTTACATCTGTTTTATTCTTAATATTTTGAACTCATTTTTAAACACATTTCATATATTAGAGCATGCAATGTTTTTCTTTCTGTGGCTGGCTTATTTCCACTTGGTACAACGTCCTCTAAGTCCATCCATGTTGTGGCAAATGGCAGAACCTCCTCGTTTTAAAAGGCTGAATACTATTCCATTGTGTATGGAGTGCATATGCCCCACAGTTTTTTTATCCATTCGTCCACTTAGGTTGTCTCCACATCTTGGCGACTGTGAATACTGTTGCAGTGAACATGGGAGGGGAGAGAACTTCATGAGGCGGTGGTTCCATTTCCTTTGTATGTCCAAAAGATGGATTGCTGGACAAAATGGTAGTTCTAGTTTTAATTTAGGAATTTCCATACTGTTTTCTATAATGGCTGTGCCAGTTCATTCCATAGCATATAGTTCTTGTTTTTTCACATTTATGCTAAAACTTATTATCCTAGGGCTGGGAATGCGGCTCAGTGGTTAAGTACCCCTGGGTTAAATTCCCAGTACCAAAAATCAAACCAAACCAAAACAGCTTTTTTTTTTTTTTTTTTTTTTTTTTTTAAATAAAACACCCCTACTCCCAGAGTCTGGCTAAATGACCCACACTGGCCTCCAATCCAACTCACGGACTTCTTGCTTCAGCATCCCAAGTAGCTGGAATTACAGGTGTGTGCTACCATACATAGCTTTAATCTCTTGTCTTTTTGATAATAGCTGTCCTAACAGGTGGGAGGTGGTATTTCATAGGGGTTTTGATTTGCATTTCTCTAATTCTTAGTAATTTTGAGCACCTTTTCATGTACATTTGTCCTCCCCCCCTCTTTTTTTTTTTTGGGGTGCTGGGAATTGAACCCAGGGCCTTGTGCATGCGAGACAAGCACTCTACGGACTGAGCTATATCAGCCCCACATTTGGCCATTTTTATGTCCTCTTTGGAGAGAAATATCTATTCAAACCCTTTGCCCATTTTTTTTTCTTTTTAGTAAGGCTATGTGTGTGTGTGTGTGTGTGTGTATACACACATATTTTTTTTTTTACTGTTGAGTCATATGAGTTTTTGTATATCTTGAATATTAACCACAATCTGATAGTCATGTGTTACTTAATGATGGGGTCATGTTCTGAGAGCTGCATCATTAGGTGATTTCAGCATTGTGTGTGAACATCACAATGAATTTACATGAACTAGATAGTACAGCCTACTACACTTGGTCTATATGGTGTGAGTGTTGCAAAAAAAATTTCCCTAAACTCTAGTTATCTTTTCATTTTGTTGATTGTTTCCTTTGCTATGCAGAAGATTTTTAGTTTGATGTAGTCCTATTTATTTAATTCTGCTTTTGTTGCTTAAGCTTTTGGTGTGATATCCAAGAAATCACTGTCAAGGCTAATGTCAAGTAGCTTTT